TGTGACCATCTGTGTGACTCTGGTATTTTCACAAATCGGCTCAAGGAGAATGAGTTAAATCTGTAGGTACTCAAGGAGATACTCTAGTCTCTTCCATTAGGTTTGTCCTTTATTTTCCAGGCAGAGAGGAGCCCTGAGAGGATAGGTTCTCACACATGTGCAAGCCACGTGTGACCCAAATGAGATTCGTTTTCCCTTAACCAACTCTTGAATGACTGCAGCTGGGAAATGTTAATTAAAATTAAAAAGCGTCTGACCATGACAACCAGGAGGCCAAAAGCTCAGCATTTGCTAGTCTTCAGTCTAACCTCTTCTGCCAATGACAACATCATATGGACTGGGGTAGTGATTACTTATAGATTGAGAAAGGAGCTGAAGTAGATATTTTTATTTGTTGTTTGTTTGAGACAGCATTTCACTGTGTTGTAGTCCAGGCTGGCCTTGAACTTGAAACAGTCTTCTTGCTCCAGCCTCCCCAGTGCTGATATTATAGGCATGTGTCACCAAACCTGGCTTTAAAGTAAACAGCTTTAAGCAAAATATGACCCGGGAGATGCTTGTGGTAAAACTATCAGTTGGAATGTTAATATTATTCCTACAATTTCTTTCTGATTTTTAAACTCATACATGAGTCCAGTCATTTTATTTTGAAATGGGTTTGCTTTCTTTGTCAAAGGGACACAATTACCAAGTGTTAATTTTCATATATACACAAGAGTGTGTAATGAACCAGACTGAAAACTTGCTAATTAGATCCATTTTTTAGCCATAATGTTGACAGAGAAATTGACAAGTGTTTTTCAGTTACGATTAATGGGACATACTCTCTAAATCCAAAGGCATGAGGGAGCCTGGTGACTAATGATTCCTATGCACAAGGCAGGGCTACTGTCACTGCCCTGAGACACTGTACTTCTTGGGTTGATATTCCTACAGACTCACATAAAAAACCATCAGTATAACACAGAGAGATCCTGCCACCCCTCTCCCCAGCACATACGACAGACACCTCCTGAAAACCTATAGCTGAGTACCCAGAGTGCCCAGAGAACTCGGAGTACCCAGAGTACCCGGAGTGCCCAGAGTGCCCAGAGTGCCCAGAGTACCCGGAGAACTCGGAGTACCCAGAGTGCCCAGAGTACCCAGAGTGCCCAGAGTGCCCAGAGTACCCAGAGTGCCCAGAGTGCCCGGAGAACCCGGAGTACCCAGAGTACCCAGAGTGCCCAGAGTGCCCGGAGAACCCGGAGTACCCAGAGTACCCAGAGTGCCCAGAGTGCCCAGAGTACCCGGAGAACTCGGAGTACCCAGAGTGCCCAGAGTGCCCAGAGTACCCGGAGTACCCAGAGTGCCCAGAGTGCCCGGAGAACCCGGAGTATCCAGAGTACCCAGAGTGCCCAGAGTGCCCAGAGTACCCAGAGTGCCCGGAGAACTCGGAGTACCCGGAGTACCCGGAGTGCCCAGAGTACCCAGAGTGCCCAGAGTGCCCAGAGTGCCCAGAGAACCCGGAGTACCCAGAGTACCCAGAGTACCCAGAGTACCAGAGTGCCCAGAGTGCCCGGAGAACCCGGAGTATCCAGAGTACCCAGAGTACCCAGAGTGCCCAGAGTGCCCAGAGTACCCAGAGTGCCCAGAGTACCCAGAGTACCCGGAGAACTCGGAGTACCCGGAGTACCCGGAGTGCCCAGAGTGCCCAGAGTGCCCAGAGTGCCCAGAGTACCCAGAGTGCCCAGAGTACCCAGAATACCCAGAGTACCCAGAGTGCCCAGAGTGCCCAGAGTACCCAGAGTACCCAGAGTGCCCAGAGTACCCAGAGTACCCAGAGTGCCCAGAGTACCCAGAGTACCCAGAGTGCCCGGAGAACCCGGAGTATCCAGAGTACCCAGAGTGCCCAGAGTACCCAGAGTACCCAGAGTGCCCAGAGTACCCAGAGTGCCCAGAGTACCCAGAGTGCCCAGAGTGCCCAGAGTACCCGGAGAACTCGGAGTACCCAGAGTACCCAGAGTACCCAGAGTACCCAGAGTGCCCAGAGTGCCCAGAGTGCCCAGAGTGCCCAGAGTGCCCGGAGAACCCGGAGTACCCAGAGTACCCAGAGTACCCAGAGTACCCAGAGTGCCCGGAGTTCCCAGAGTGCCCAGAGTGCCCGAAGTACCCAGAGTACCCGGAGTGCCCGGAGTACCCTGAGTACCCGGAGTTCCCGCAGTGCCCAGAGTGCCCAGTGTGCCCTGAGTACCCAGAGTACCCGGAGTACCCGGAGTACCTGAGTGCCCGGAGTGCCCGGAGTACCCAGCTTGTCAGCATTTGCTTGCCCCCTCCCATCTCCATTCTCCTGCCACCGCCACTCCTCACCCCCGATGTCACCAGCCTGCTCTCTAGTCCCACAGCCAAGCCATTCTGGGAGGTTGAGAAAACAGAACCCTGGAGTCCGATTATTTTGAGATCTGCTCTTGAGATCTGCTGGTCACTGCACAGTTCCCTGGAGATGAGCTGGTCCTCTGTGCACCCCGCACCTTTTCACACCTAATTGGCAGACTGGACTGTAGCTTGACCAAGCATTCAGAAGTGGAAGGGCATTTTGCTTATTTCTAGGACTTTGTTATTATGAACACAGCTGCTACAAACATCCCTGCATGCCCCCACCCCACTGCCCTGCTCTGGGGAGAGAGAAAGTTTTAAATTAGATCAAGGTCTGATTTATTGTTTTTTCCTATATTGGCTAACTGTTGTAAGTTTATTTCCAAAAGAAACTGCCAAAGTTTCCAGAATAGTTGGACCATTTTGCATCCCACCAGCAAGATGAGTCCTTGGCACGCCCAAACTGAGTATCACCACCGAATTTTATTGTTACAGCTGAAGAGCAAGCTCAATGGGTCGGTCATTCTCTCTCTGGTTCACTGACTCTCATCTGTTTACGCCAACTGCCTCTGTACCTATCCCTGGAGAATTTCATCTAATTTCTTATATTTCTCAGTTCTAAAATTTTCGGTCAGTTTTTATTTATGTATTCTGTTCCATTGTGGAGGCTCACATTCCCACCACATCTCTGTGGTGAGAGCATCTTCACAATAGTAGCTTACGTCACTTTCCAGTAACTCTAGTGTCCGTGGTGCAAGACACTGAACAGCAGCTAGTGACTGGCAGGTGGGCGGAGCCCAGGCTTCCCATTTGGCCTCTGCCTACATCCAAGGATGGCGCCTCATGACCTGGGCAGGAGATTTTCAGAGGCACCCCATGACTGGGAGTGGGGTCCTGTGGAGCTTCTCACGAGAAACCTGCTCCATCTTCTAGTCTCTGAAATGCACCTTCTTGCTCTTCAGCAGGTAGGCGCCAGGTTTCCTGCCCACACTGACTCCAGCCCAGCACACGGTTGAGATACCCCAGCACAGAGGTGGAGGCCTCTGGTCCTCTTCTGCTCTCCCTCACACAACACATTGACTTCCTCAGCTGTGTCTGTCCGTGAGGCCAACATCTGAGGAAAAGTTTGCTTCTTTTAGACTATTGTGGCCAAACAAATTTGGGTTTTGTTCTGCAACTCACACTCTGATTTCTCACTTCCCAAACATAGTACTAACAGTGTGGGTGTTGAAGGAAAAACAACAATTAGAATCTCAATAAAAATTCCCAGCAATGGTAACATAGTCAACAAATGGCAGTGAAGGGACTCAAGTTAGACATCAAGGCGTTTTTTAATGGCTGACTTGAGGAATGCTGGGATCACAACGGAGGACATTGTAAAACATCCTTCCTCCATTGCCGGTGTGTAGGGCAATTATGCACCACCAGCACCCCCGAGTCTGGGGACTGTGCTAATTGCTGTATTAAAGTAGGCAGCTCAGGGTGCCCCACACAGCACCTTTGGGTCACCTGGTCAGCTTATGGGGAGGGATGGGTGTCATAAAGCAAGGCTGCAGGAAAGACATCCCCCTTCATCTACCCGTGTGTGGTTCCAGGAGCGCCCACACTGTGTGCAGGAGAGGACTCTGTCCACTCTATAGATGGAAGACCAGGGACTGAGTGGGAAGAATGGGGTGCAGGCTTGGCCACACCATGCCCGTCGTCATTTGTCACATGTGAGGCATCTGAAAGCACCCAGGAAGAGCACACCAAGCGAACGCCAGAGGGGACTGGGAAGAGGATGAGGAAGAAGGGAAAGACGTTGAAGGAGAGGAGGGTGGAGTGAGGGGGAGCTGTAAAGTGTGGGTGCAGAGGAGAGGTTATGATGGGAAAGGGGGAGAGAGAAGGAAGAGGGAGGGAGGGTGGCAGGGAAGGCTAGGAAGGGAGGATGAGCAGGCGGGGTAAACGGAGGAGAGAGGAGGAAGAGTGGGCAGATGCGGAAAGGAAAGGGGCGGAAGGGGAGAAGGCGGGTGAGGCCCCCAGAACTGAGCAGAGTGTGGCGTTCAGGGGGAGATTCAGGAACCAGACTGAGGCGGGCGTGCTTGGGAGGAGGCAGGTGGGCATCCAGTGTGCCCAGTGAGCAGTGGACAGGGCTGTTGTTGGCACAGAGGTCACCTGCCTTCCTATAATCCTCCCTGATGCGGAACAGCAGCAGCTGGAGGTGACAGCAGGACGAGTGTCCCTGTAGGAAGGAGATGGAAGCTCCAAGCTCCATACTTGAAGAAACAGCCGGCTTTCTCAAGCTAGTCACCTGCCCCCACAAGGCAGGCAGGTAAGAGGGAGGCACACTGATGTGGTTTGCGCTCTCTGAAGGATGATGGCACCCTCCCACACACACCCATCACGCAGGCTTTTAATACATGAAACTTAGTGTTATCTCCAAAAACAGCCTCCGCATGCCGGCTTCCCCAACCCATAACCAGGGGTGGCATCCCCAGAGCACCACAGGGGGCCACAGTTGAGTGTTCATCCTTCGCCACTCCCTCGGCATCCCATCTTCTGGTCTGTTGTAATGCTGTCTGCCATTTGATGCTGCCTTGGGACTGGCCATGGCAGACCGTTGCTTCTTCCCAGCCAGGACACCCTAACTCAGCAGTCACCCTCCTTACCCTTGATCACACGGGGGCTTGTCCTAGTTGCCTGTTTCCATCTGGTGCCATCTCAGGAGATCTCTGTCTACGCCTCTCAAACCCCTGAAATGGTGACAAATTTCATATTTAGCACAGGGACACCCAGGCCTTGGAGAAGCCAGGACACATTCCATTCCTCACAGCATGCACACAGCCACTCACTCCCTTGGATCCCGTGTGGCTTTGGAACCCCATGGAATCGATCATTGCTGCGGTGGCCCCTGGTTAAGAGACATTTCAGGGACATTTCTACATCTATTCTGACAGCATTGAACGGAATCACTGTAGTTTGTCCTTTCTTCCCCCAACAGCGTCTTCACCGTGCAAATGAGTCTCCCAGTGCAGAGTTCTGACAAGACAAATGAAAACATAATAGCTTTTCAGAACTGGCTCTCCTTAGTGTTCTGTCCTCCATTAGCAAAACAGACAGGTATTCGGGAACATGGCACCAGAGAAGGCAAGAGCCAGTCTTTCCATCCTTCTAAGTGTCCTAACCGACAGAACACCCTTCCAGAAGGCCCTGTGCTTCATGCTCTGTTCAGGCCCTGTGTCCTGTCCTTTCAGGAAAGGGGGATTGCCCTGGATCCCACCCGCCCAGCGTGTGAGGAATGGCTCTTCTCATCACCTCTCTCCTGAGCAACTCTGTCAGACCCTTCCTTCTCCACACAGAAACAGAACACAGGACTCCCTGTGACTCTGGCCAGACTAGGCCTGTTTCTCACTCTGTGACCCAGCTCTCTGAAAGGGGCCTCCACCCTACACTGTCACAGTGCCGTCTCACGCAGGGCTCACAGGCCCCACGGGCCATCCATCCAAGGGTCCTAACCTGACAGAAGTCCCTTCCAGAAGCCCCTCTGCTTCACTCTGTCTGTGCCCTGTGTCCTGTTCGTCCCTGCCCTTCCTCCTGAATCCTCCCTGCCCATTCCCCAGACTCCCAGGCCCTACCTTGCTACTCCCTGACTCAGAAAGGCTTTGGCTGCTGTGGCTACAACAGGATCAAAAAGAAACAGGATGTCTATTGTCGGCTGCTTCCAAGGCTTTTCACCTCCATGGAAGGAAGCGATTTACAGCCTCAGTGCAGCCTGGCTTTCCAGCAAACTCCATTGCAGAGCAGTCCCTGACACCAGGGGTTTTTATTCAGTAAGGTGCTGCTGCTGTGACGCCCAGTGTGTGACAGGATTGGACTTCATCAGGAGCAGCAGTCACCCTCTCTGCTGCTTTTCAAAAGGCAGTCACAATAAACAGCCCTCCCCCACAAAGCTAGAGGCCACGTGGCTGAAGTGGGGCTGAAGTGGGCGTCGACAGAAGGCAAGGGCTTCAGCTGCAGACCCGGGGACTTCATGGCTCTGTTCCAGAAACAGTCTACATGCCTGACCTTGTCTGTTTCAGAAATATAAAAATTTCCCACCCTAACACACAGGCACTAATAACCACAAAGAACTGGCCGACCATGAAGAGGGTCAAGATGTGGCATGGTTTTCACATGAAATGTCCCCTAAACTCATGTGCTGAAGGCTTTGCCCCCAATGCCAAGTTACACATGGATACACACACACACACACACACACACACACACACACACACACGTGCTGAACATATGCACATGGGTACAAAGACACACACACACAGACACATGAATGTGCAGACACAAGGACATAGACAGACATAACACACAGGTATACATGCACACACAGACACCCATGCACATATGTTCACACAGACACACCTAAACATACATGTACACCGAGACAGTTATACGCATATATGCTCATATGCACACACACAGACATTTGCAGAGACACGTAGATGCAAAGTATGCATACATATGCATGTGCAAACACATTCCTATATGTACTTAGACATCTCTGCATGCCTATATGCCTACAGATTTTCAGAATATTGTGTTCCAGAATAGCTGTAACTGCTAATTCTGTTCCAGTGCATAGGAAGAGGAGTATAATTGGTGTATTTGTATTCAAATGCACCGTTAAGACCATTTCCCCCTCTGAAGTGGTTATTTACATCGGCATTTTTGCTGTGGAGCCCAGAGAAGAGGGGCTTAGATCCAGCCCACGGAGTTCTATCTGAGGAACTGCAGGCAGTAGGGGTAACAGGGCATCGCAGCTCTAAGAGCTCAACCTCCCACCACCCTGGCACACTTGAGAGCCCCTCTTCTCTGGGCCTCGGATGCCGTTCCCCAGCGCCCACAGGTTAAGACAACTTCCTCAGAAACAAATCCAGTGCTGCACAGAAAGGGACTGGAAACCAGAACACATCCCAGACAATTAATTTTTACTTTTAAAATTTTATTTATAAGCCGGGCGTTGGTGGCGCACGCCTTTAATCCCAGCACTCGGGAGGCAGAGGCAGGCGGATCACTGTGAGTTCGAGACCAGCCTGGTCTACCGAGCGAGTTCCAGGACAGCCTCCAAAGCCACAGAGAAACCCTGTCTCGAAAAACCAAAAAAAAATTTTTTTATTTATAATGTTTATGGGTGTGGAGCATGAGTTTTTGTTTTGTTTTGCTTTTGGTTTTTGTTTTTTTTGAGACAGGGTTTCTGTGTATTGTTTAGGAGGCTGTCCTGGAACTTGCTCTGTAGACCAGGCTGGTCTTGAACTCACAGAGATTCGCCTGCCTCTGCCTCCCGAGTGCTGGGATTAAAGGCGTGCACCACCAGCGCCCGGCGTGAGCATGAGGTATTTATGGATGTATGTACATGTGTTTTACAGGTGCATGTCTTTGGAAGTCAGAGGTCAGCATCAGGTGGTTTCTTTGATTACTCCCTAGTTTATTAGAAGTTCAAAACTGTTTATCTTATGTATGTGAGTGTTTTGCCTACATGTATGTATGTGAACCACACTCATGCCTATGCAGTGGAGGTCAGAAGAAGACACTGCGTCGTCTGGAACTGGTGTTACACGTATCTGTGAGCCACCACGCTGGTGCTGGGAACTGAACCCAGGTGGTCCTCAGCAACAGCAACAAGTGCTCTTAACTGCTGAACCACCTCCAGCTTCCCTGACCTCCACTCTCGTTTTTGAGTCAGGGTCTCCCACTGATCATGGAGCTCATTGATTTGGCTAGGCTGGGTAGTGGATGAGCTCCAGAGAGACGCTTCCCTCTGTAGAGCTGGGCTTGCAGGTTTGTGGGGCTGTGACCAGCTTAACATGGGTTATAGGCATCTGAACTCAGGTCTCATGCTTGTGGGACAAACACTTTATTAACTGAGACATCTTTCTATCCCCTACATTTTACTTTTCAACTATTAGGGTTCTAAACTGATGGTTTCTTTTCCAAGTTTATGGAATAAGTGTTTAATCATCTCAGACCCTCGATCACATGGAAAGCACATAGTTAACCTTTGGGTTATCTGCTGCTTCATTGTGGAGGTCACACTGAGCTATTGTGGGCAGCTACATATTGGGACCAATGCTGGCCTCGAAATGTCCTGTTAGCCTGGTTTCCAGGGAACACTCTTTGGGGTTATGCATGGTTCCCAGACCTGGAACTGCTAATCTTTCCCATGTCATCAGCCTCCTCCACCTTATCTTATGCTCAGAAACACCCTTCTCAGCCTGTCACCAACATCCTTCCTTTATGCTCCTGTACCCCAAGACCACAGGTGTTGCATCAGCAGGACCCCTTCTGACAATATTTGAGGAAATGGGGGGGCAAACTCATGGAATTGAAAATGACTCAGGAATCCAAGCCTTCCCTTAAGACAATGTATTTTCTTCAGTCTTTCCATGAGTTCTAGTGGGAACAGTGCCCCGAGACAGCGCCCAGGCAATAGAACAGGTCACAGGGTGCCACAGACAGCAAGAGTGGACAACCAAAGAAACTGTGATAGTTATGCAGATTGGGTGTGAAAATTCAGGCGATTTTCACTTTTTCCTTAGTTTTTCTCTGTTGCATTTTTCCCTTTAAGATTCTTTTGAACAAAAGATACAGGTAATTTTAGTAACTTGAAAGAGGAATGAAAGCATTCCAATTTTAGGAGAGAAAATATCATCTCACAGAAACTTTTATAGGAGTGTGTAGTCCCTGTGAAATGATAATGTGTCATTTCCTGCACCATAATGCCTGTGGACATCCTGGGTGAAGCCTATGGACAACATGAGGTCAGCAGAGAGACAGAGCTCGTCAGGACCTTCGTGGCCCTGGGTCCGTTCCCTTCTGCTGAAGTTCTAGGCAATAAATACATATTCATGTTGCAAGCCTTGAGCCCACAGGACAGAAGAACAAAAGCATGGTGTTGTACATGCCCATCATTGTATGCCAGCGGAACGTGAGCAACACTGTCATTTGCCACGTATGATTATCTCCACAGATGCCAAGAGAGCCTTCTCCAAATGCTCAGGGAGTCCGGGGTCAAGATGGATGAACTGTCAGGCTGGGGTCTAAAGCCACTCTTGTGTTTAATGGGGAAGAATGGAAGCTAGGAGCAAGTGAATGGATGATACAGGGTTGGCCCCAGCTGTCACTGCTTGAGAGGCACCAGCCAAGTCAGTAGACAGAGGAGCAGCCTCTGTGGGCTGGGAGTACCTCTGTTTGCAGACAGGACTATAAAACAGTGCGGACCTCAAGAATCTAGCGAGCATGCCTTGAATGAATAAAAGAGTTTATTAAAATGTCTAGCTATCAAATCAACAGAGGGCATGGTGACTAAAAAGAAGTCTGCTTAAAATAACGACAACAAAAGAAGAGTGAGTTTCACAGTTCTTAACAGGAAAAGTTGACAATACTCTGGAAAACCAGAGGAAGACTTGAACTGGACTAGGGGGTGTGGCTGGCTCAGTGGTCAAATGCTTGCTTAGTATAGGCTCGACCTTGGGTTCCATCGACTATGTCAGAACAGTCAACCTGAACACATGGAACACAGTCCTCTGTTCTCAAACAAGACTGCCCAACATTGTGATGTCCCCTCACCCTTCTGGGAGGGGAGGTGGTCCATGATTGTTCACATATACCAGATGAGGATGCTGGGTATCCTGTTCCATCACTCTTCCACCGTATTCACCTGAGACAGGACCCCACTGAACACGGAGCTCACCGTTTTCACCTAGGCTGACCGGCCAACAGGCCTCAGCAATTCTCCCGTCTCCTCATCCCCACGTCTGGAGTTTCAGACATGCGTGACCATGCCCAGCTTCTGCCTGGGTGCTGTGGACCCAAACTCGGCATTACCCACCAAGCCAACTCCCCCAGACCATGATACTCTCCTTTTGGCATTAATTATAAAGTAAATCCTACTCTCTTTCTCCTAAAACAAAGTAAGTTCATTTCAAATGAAGACATCTTAATAATAACAGATGAGTGTGCAGGGACACTGAAGAAGCAGGAGAAGGAAAAGGAACATGGAATTCTCCATAACTGAGTGACAAAGGACCAAAACCCACGAGAAAGAGGGTGAGTCAGAAGATAAAATGGCCCTCGAGAGTATGGAAATGTCTGTGCTCACCCCTAGTTGGATGCATGCTAGCTGGCACATAACTAGGAGCCCCTTGTCACCAGCGGATGGCATCACTCAGCTGGAGGCTACTC